AATGGGAAAGAAGACAGCAAATAGCTGCACTGGGGAAAGGAAAAAGAAGACTCCTTGAAATGAAGCTGTGTGCTGGGGCTGGCTGCGATGGAGTTAATTGCTTCATTGCAACCTGCACCTCAAATTGTGCTGATAGCACACCAGTGTTGGAGGTGTTGCTGAACAGGGCTTGCAGGGTGTCAAGGCTTTTTCTGCTCCTCAGCTCTGTGCCCCATGGGGCTGGCAGGAGGCTGGGAGCAGGCACAGCCAGGACAGCACCACGGGCTGACCAAAGGGGTGCTGGATGTCACATAGTGCCAGCTCAGCCACAGAACTGGGGTTTGGCCCTTTCTCAGTACTCCCTCTTTGGAGGCTGACTAGGCACTGCTCTGCTTGTGGGAGGTCAGAAGTGACTTCTTTTTGGTCAGTTTGTGTCCTCCTACCCTTTCCCCTCATTTTAAAACTGCTTTTATACCATGACGCACACATTTTCTCACTGTTGCTCTTGTGATTCTCTCCTCCATGCCACTGTGGGGGAGTATGTGATCTGCTGGCTGGGGATTTACTGGCTGAGGTGATCATACCATAAACTGAGAATAGGAAATAACCGCAACCATAATGACAGTGAAATTATAAATTAACCTGGAAGTTACAGACACAGAAACTATGGCTTTTTTTCTGCTGCAATTTCTTTTGCACTTTTGAAAATTAATATTTGCTCTACCTAAATTTTCACATAGGTAGTGAGAGTTATTAAAAGGACACTTTCTTTATTCTTTTCTCCTGGATGTTGAAGAAATTTTTAGGAAAATTAATTCAATATACAGCTCAGACTGGCTGTCTCTGAATGTGAAACCTCCTATAGTTGCAAAAAAAAAAATTACTTCCATTAAGACACAGGCCAAATTTAGGAAAAATATGAGCTGGTTTAAAATATGTGTTCAATATGGGGTCATCAGAGTACCACACCAGTTGAAGCTGGAGCTGTGTTGCAGACTTGGCTAGCAGTCAATAAGCTCACCCAGACAGTGTGGCAGCAAGCTGCCTCTAGCAATATTTTAATATTTATTCATCTTTACGTACCTTTTTGTTCCCATATTTTTCAGGCTGATGCGTGAAATTCACGGTGCTGAAGTCAGCTGTGGTGATGTCATCAGAGTGAAACTGTCAGTGTGAGAAAATGGCTGCAGCAAGAATCTTAGCTTGCAGACATAATTACAACTTCAGTACAAAGTTCATAACTTTTTCATCTAATGTAAGCAAACAGGGGTTTTGAATTCAGAGAGAAAAGGCCAGAATTTTCAGATATGTGTGATGGCTTTCACTGTAAACTTACCAATTTGTGTACAAAGACCTTTTGCTATTGATGCTAACAGAAGCCCCTCTCTCTTTCTCAGCCTGACAGATCCTACTGCATCAGAAGGTGCTCTATTTTCAGGAGGAACAGTCCCCACTGTGCTGCAGAAGCCATGCAGGTGTGCACCCTGCTTTTCCTCACCTAGGCCTTTCTAGAGCAACAAAACAAAAGGCACTCAGACCCATAAAAGCACCCGAGGCAGCTGCCCTGCCTGACACCCTGCTGATCTTAAGGCTTTATCAGTGAATCAATGTCTGCAGCCTGAGCAGAGTGTGCTACTTAGCCGTCATAGCAGCTCATTTGGAAAGAATTTGGTTCCTAATTATAAAAAAAGAGATTTCAAAAGTGTTTGCCTTGGGAAATACAGCCACAGAGACAGTGCTTGGGAGACCTTCAAGTTCAACACGTTTCAGTGGAAACTCTGCCTGCTGCCCTCCTACATACAGGAGAGTCTGTACACACTTAAACCACAATAAAAGGATGCCACAGCACTACCTTTGCTGCTCAATAGTAGGTGGATTGAGAAGGTGGTAAACTCGTGCTAGATAAGGCTCAATCTGAGTTACAGCAAACAGATTTTTTCCAAATAATCTGAATTACCTGGGGTGAATTCAGCCACTGGCCCTGGCCTTCCCACTGCAGAGATAAAATAGCAGCTTCACAGCCTACAAACTCTAAATGCCTGATTTAGAGTGTTTCTGCTGTTCAAGCTGTGGGTCAGCAGGGAGAGCTCAGCAGGGTCTCTTATCCCTTGTAACACTCTTCAAGAGCTCTTGTTCTACAGCTTTGCTTTGAAGGAGTAAGAATGCCAGAACTGAGCCCATTTTTCCCTTTCTGTCTGTTGGGATAATCAGAAAAGGCTCAGGAAATTCTGGAGGCCAAGATAGATAGACAAAATGCTGAGAAGAAAAAAGAGACTTAAAAAAACCCAAAACTCCTTTCTCTGCCCTCTCTCACTTTGGTAACACCTCTCCTGCCCCCATCACCAGTCACCACATCAGCTTCTCTTTTCTAATTGAATGAGTCTGACTTGGAAAGAAAGCCAGCAACTACAACACAGAGAAGTTTCTTACTGGTTTGTGTGATGAAGTAGGAGCCTATTTGGCCAGTTCATGGCTTAACCTACTTTATTTTAATGAATTATCCATGAGGTGGGATACATAGAGGTGCCATGTCAGCATAGTCTGAGGTCATCGCCAACATCATCAGACAAGCTTTGAAATTAGCTCTAAGTGGCAGTACTTCGTGTGCAGTCTAACAAAATGTGTATGAGCACCAGCCAAAATAAATTATCATCTTCTCCCCTGCAGAGGTGTGCCAGTACCTGCTGATGCCATTAGGGCCAGCATGGCATGCCACCCCACTGCATTGAAACAAGCCACAAGGAAAATTATAAACTGAGACTTTTTTTAAATTCAGAAAAATATTAAAAGTGTGAACTGTGACATGTGCAGCTCAAATGACCTGCCTAAGGAATATATTAATTTTTTCACAATGGAAGAACTTTATAGTCTCTTGAAGATTGTATCTTTTTTTCCTTAAAAATTCATCATGTAAAATCATTTTCTGTGAAATATTAATTAATAGATTGTAAATGTCAAAATTCAGATCATTAGTGATGCCCAAATACTATAATTATTGAGAACTGCTCTGAAAATTCAAAGGGTCTCACCCATAATGCTTTCAGCCAAGTCCAGAAACTGAAGCAGTTTAATTTGCCAGTAGTTTTGTAACATTTCTTGCAGCAGTGAGATTTGCTTGACGAGACCCTTTGCCTGGAAAGGGATTTACTTTTGATGTCTGAGACAAGCCTGACATTTCCACTTCCTATTTAATTTTTAAGTAACTTCTGCTTTAAAGTTCTGAGCTCAAGTTTACTGCCCCAAGTAAACCAGATCTCTTCATTTTTTACTTTCATTTTCCACTTCTGCTTTTCTCTGTCAGTAATATCGCTGGTAGCTGAATCACAGTGGCAAATGGCTTCCTAACCCTACAGTTTCCACATTTTCTGTAGAATTGATCATCATTTCTTCTGTGTCTGAATAAAATAAACTTCAAGGCTATGCATTAAAATCTTCTAAAAACAGTGCCATGTCTGCTGTCCTGCAGTTAGAGTGAACCTCTGATTTCAGTGCTGGAGATGAGCTGGCATCTCACACAGCTTCTGGATAAAGAAATAAACTCAGCGTTTGATACACTGTAAGAAAGGCGGAGCTTGAGTGAAATTTGACCTTGCAATAGCGCAGAAACAATAGAACAGAAAACAAAACAAATTCCTTTTCCAGGTCTCAGTGCTGCTGTCGTTCAGGGCACTGCCAAAGACAATAATAGGACCAGAGGGCTCTCCTTCCATTTTCTCTCAAACCCAAAGCTATTTGGCAGGGCAAAAAAACGACCTCATAGCCTACTTCATAGCCTACTTCATGTAGTACACATTTCCTCATCAGGGTCAGCTAACACAGCAAAGTAGCAGCATGACACTGCTGCCCTGGGAAGCCCCAGAAAAGAAAGGGCCCTAAAATAAGGGCCATTAACAGAGAGCACCAAATAATTTTATATAAATGTATTTTATGTATAATATATGCAGAAATCATATCACATGTATAAATCTATAACTATGTCTATAAAATTGCAACATGAAAAAACTTTTATATCAGGAGGTGATCTCCAGTCCTGGCAGAGCTCTATCAAGAACCTGTAATAAATATATTTTACTCGTGCAGTATTTTTTCACAAAAAATAAATTTATCTTAATTATGCAACATGGCACGTCCCTCTCCGATGCAATGGCTGAAGTACCTGTAACAGGAGGGATTTTTTAATGAGGATTCAGAAGATGAGCATGCTACTTCCTCATGCAGTAGCTCACAAACCATTCTTTCCTTTTGTAGGGAATGGGATGTGCATTTACAGCCATGCACAGGCATTCATTTGACTGTTGTGTGCATTATGACTTGAAAGTAAAACCTAGCCCACCATTCACACCTTGCAAGAGTCTGGACCTTAGAGCTAATCCCAGAGTTTCTCAGTCCATCTCGTCTCCACTCACCTCCATCATGGCAGATTACAAGGCAGAGCATACCTCAGTCCTTAAATGCTTTTTTAAACTTTAGTCCCCAGTAAATTAATTCCTGTTGAATATTTTTAGAGTGAAAACCCTAATAAGTAGTGTTAAGAAGTAACATTAAACAGAAGCCTGCAAGCAGTTCTTGGTGTTCAACCAAAATTAATTGTTGACTGAACTTGATTCTTCACTTTGAGGGGAAGTTTTATTTAAAGGAAATGCCAAGAAAATATTTTTCCCCTCAGTTCCTAGACAAGATTAACTGTATTCTGCTTCAGAAATAGGAGTCTAAAAAAGAAAAAAATCCCCATTAAAGTGCAAGCCATTTGAAGTGCTTTTTTTTGCCCAAATCTGTTAATCAGAGACTTCAAGTTTTCTGTGACCCTGACGAGAGGAGGACATTCCCTTCAGCCTCACTGCTGTGTTTTTCTGACTGCACTCCCAGGCTTGTGTGCCCAGCAGCAATCCAGGCACAGCCAGCTGGGTTGGTACAATCTGGAAGCTTGTTGCAATAACACACAGAACAAAAAACACAAGGAAGAGCCTGGCAGCTGTATAAAACTCCCTCTGAGCTCCAGTCTCCACAGAAGTTCACCAGCCCCAGCAAGCAGCATGACCAGCCAGTCTCAGGGAATCCAGCAGCTTTTGCAGGCAGAAAAACGTGCCAAGGACAAACTGGAGGAAGCCAAAAAAAGTAAGTAGTTGGCCTGGTTTTACTGTACTTCTCAAGTGCAAGCCCTTCAGAATTACAGTAGCTCACAGAAAAAGATTATTTCATCTGTATACATGCACTAGTGCTGTGCCTTGGCTGCAGCCAGGCGCTTACTCAAACCTGAATATTCAGAGTTTGCTTAAAATCCCCTGTGCTTGTGTCTACATGTACATGTGCCCTATTACATTAACAAAATGTTTTCTTTGTTATATTCATCCTGTCAGCTGCATTTGTTCTTCCTTTATCTCAGTGTTGTTAATGCCATTACTGCCTTGCTATTTAAATTAGAATCTTACATGCCTTTGACTGCCAGCTCTGGAGGACTAGACTCCAAACTCTTTACTTTTCTTAATAGGTTTTGCTATGATTTTTTTAGTCTTCCTCTTTACTTGCAAAATCCAGTAACTTGTCTCCTAATAGAAGCTGGGCTTCAAAAAATTATATGAAAACTAAGGGGAGACTTCAACACCCTGATAGTAATCAAAGTCACAGTAAAACCATGAGCACTCTCAGTACTGTAATAGATCATTCACAGAAGTTTTATTACATGGTACAAGCAATTATTCTCCTGAGTGCAGGTACAACCACATGAGTCATTGACCTGCACTAGCACTGAAACATTAATACTGTTTTCTGGAGTGATCTTGCTTCAGAAACCAGCAGCAAAATGCAAAGAAAATGGATGACAATGATGTCATGTGGAGCAAGAGCACAATAAAGGAATATTGTTTTCCAGGGAGGAATGGAAGCTCAACAGAATAATTTGTGTAGTTTCCATATCCCTTCTACACATGAATCAGCATTGTTGCATGCTCATTAATCTTTAGTGTGATGTATCAATTTGTACAGCAGCACACAAAAATAAATAGAAAGGCAAGTCCCCTCCCTAAGCACCCAGGCACTGCCTGTGCCTTGCAGACACAACAGAGATTAAAGCAAATCCTCCCACCTTCATAAAACAGAACTCTCAGGCAGAAACCTGAAGGCAAAGGATAGTTAAGTAGTGTTTTGACCTCTTACACAGCCAAACTAGGAGCTCTGGGAGGGATGGTTTTTCCCTTCTCATGCAGGGCAAAGGAAACACACTGCTCCCTCAAATCAAGAGAGCACATTACCTGGAAAGGCACAGCCTCAGTGGAAGGAGGAGGAGTTTGGCCTGAACACAGACTGCAGAATCAGGCCTTGGCTTGAAGTGGATTACTTTTGGGTTTGAGGCTTTTTTTGTTGCTTTAATTTTGTTTGTGTTGTAAAGTCACTTTAACTTTTTCTATAATGGTCAGTTAAAAAGGAAGCTTCTTAAATTAAGAAACTCCAAAAATAAAAGGAGTAATTATAACATAAAAGTGATAACCAAAGATGAATGAGAATCATGTCTTGCAGAATCCAGACACAGTTATGGATGCATTTACTCTACTCTGCAAAAGACACACTCCCTTGTCACCATCTCAGCCTCATTTGGAGTGCTTGTGATAAGAACAGGATTTCTTACAGATAAAGTATCTTCAGACCCTCTGAGTCAGAGACTTGAATTAAACCACTGCCAGTGTTCACCTCAACACTAACCCACCAGTAGGAGTTATTAACCAGTTACAGAAAAACAGCTATTAAGAATTTTGCTATCAGTAAAATTATTCAGAGTAAAAATATATCATCACTCTAGCTTTCTTTTCTATTACTTTTAAGATCACAATTATTTTTTTGCATTTATAAAAATTATTAAGCAAAATTAAAATTTCAATACACAAATTTAAACATAAGAAAACAACCCAGTGACTGTGAGGGAGCAACAGACTGCCCGGAGGCTGGGGAATCTCCATTCTCAGAGACATTCAAAACCCACTGGATATGGCCCCAGTCAAGCTGCCCTTGCTTCCATCAGGGAATGTATCCTATGGACTCCTTCCAGCCTCAGCACTTCAGTATGATTCCATGAAGAACCTCAAGAATTTCCAAAATTAGCACATCAGGGGCAAACAGTTTAAATAAATCCACCCTGGATTTTGTTCTAAACCAAGCATTATAGGTAATCTATAGATAATCAGCATAAATATACCTAGACAACCATTACATTCAACGTTGCAAGAAGTTTGCACTGAAGCTACAAAACAAACTGCCTGTGTTGTCCTTGATTTAAGTATTTTTCATAGCTGTCACTACACCACCTTAGATAACTATGCCAGCATAAGTTAAATACTGTGGGACAAGGGCAAAAGGGATTCTTCTAGAGACAAGTCTGGCTGTTCTGAGTTGGGGTTACTTCAGCAGTGTCTTCCTCACATTGATTCTGCAGTTAGATCAAAAGAAAGGATTGCAGAGTTTGTCTCCGAGCATAAAAGCTAAGCTGAAAGGCAATACATGAAATGCAACAGATCTGTGCAGTGCAGTTGGCTGACCTGTGCACACTCAGCTGGGTGGAACAAGGAGGGAGGTGCTGCTTCACCTCAGATTGGGCAGCTCAGATCCACCTGGCACCAGCTGGGATCAGCAGGTGCTGCTCAGGGCCTGCTCTGCAGCTCTGGGCTGCCAGGGAAAGCACTGAGCCCTCCCAGCCCTGTGACCTCCTCTGTCACCCCAAGCAGGCATTGCACAACACCACTGCACCATGGGTCTGGCTGCTGTGCTGGCACTGGGACAGCAGCTGGCAGCTTGTTCCCGGGACACACCAGGAGCAGGCACTTGCAAGGAAATGGGACTAGCAACACTACCCTGATGCAAAGCCTTCCATATTTACAGTTGATACTCACATAACCAATCAAAATGTAGTGTGAACACACATAATATTGTATATAAACAGTTAATGGGCCTAGGTTTTGCTGACATATGTGCAGTTGTTAGTAATGCAAAAGCCACTTGAAGTAACTGAAAAAATTAGCTAATAAAATTATATTGATACACACAAAACAAAACAAAAATATAATGCTAAAAGTCTTCTATACATGCTTTTTCTTACTCCTTGCTCAATACCCTTTTTCCTGGCATGATATCATTAGCTGATATCATTTATACCTGAAAATGTATTAATATTTTCAAATAATTTAATGAACACATGCAAGGCTGAAATTATTAGACTGATTAAACACAAGCCAAACCAGTCTGCAGTCCTTTGACCATTTGAACATGGTGCTGCTTTAGCTATGATTTTTACTTTAAGCACAATTTGGATCCCAGAAATAACTGAGCATTGTCAGTGCCAAGACATCAATTCCTGAAAATCCTTTTGGGTAAAACAAAGGAAACAAATGTGTCATGAACACTGTGCTTAGCAAAACTCGTTCTCCTATAGATTTTTACATATTCCCTTGAATTTCTCATGCCTAATAAAAAGAAAACTCAGATGAAAGATTATAGAAAATCAAATTAAAACCAAATGTTAATCAAAATAAGATATTGTAAACAGAATTATATCCATGGCGCTCTCTTGGACAATATCCAAGACATATTTTATCGACTGAGAAAGCTGGATATAATGCTCAGCTGCCTCTATTCTATTTTATTAAAAGTACAAAATAGTTTTCTCACAATGCACATCCCCAAATCCTATTTTCCAGACAATTTAGCAAAGACAACTGAAATGGTTCTATTTTAAGAAAATATGATTAATTTTTGGCAGCTTCTTCAAATGACTTGATTTCTATGCAGAAAGTCAGCTAGGAGCCTACATGATATGTTTGAAAACAAAACTCCAATTTTAGCATTGCAGTTTTTGGAAATTAAGATAACTTAGTGTTTGAACAAATTAGAATGCAACATTTTTGCCTCCCACTGTCTTTCTTATAAGATCTAAAAAACTCCAACAACCTAAAAGACACCAGTTCTTGTGGATCTAACCAGAGCAAAGTGTTTCATGAACATCACAGAAATGCCTAGAAAAAAGAATACAGCCTTTCTCTATGTTAATAACACCTTGCCATGTGAGGCAAGAAAATCCTGTACAGTGCTGACTGGTCACAGCAAGTTTTTTAAAATTTGGTCAATTTAACACAATGCCTAAAAATTTATAGGCTGTGGAGAAGGAAATCAGGCATAGCACAGCTGCTTTGCTGCTCCCATCTTCAAGGAAGGAAGGAAGGAGGGACAGAGGGCCAGCAGCAATCCTGGCCCCCACAGGATGATCTTTGTGGCAAAAAATTTCTTCAAATTTGGGGCTTTCTGTACCTCACCTCTATGATCCTGAGGAAATGTCATAGGGCCAGGCTGGTTTGCCCATCCTCCAGCACTTCTTGCCCTCTGTTTGCATGATTTTGGCTGAATTTCAGTGCTCCACCACCCTTCAGTGTGTAAGGGTTGATTTCAGCTTGGCTGTGCTCTGAAGAGAACCAGCCCAGCAGATCAGTAAGGCTTTGAAAAGGCAGTCCTGTATTGCACAGCTACAGTAGCAGACAAGTGGTTAACAACAGACTGATTAATTAATTTTGGTTTGTCCCTAGTGGAACAGCAGGTTAAGCTCTAGTTTCTGCTTAACTTAATCAGGTGCAGCATATGCACCATCGCATATGTTGGCAGTTGCCGATTCTGTCCACAACGTTGTTGGACTAGCAGTAATTTACTCACAGCTTTTCCACTTAATTAAATAGGAAGCAGCAGGTTCCTGCTGTGCCAATCCTAAAGGCATCATGGAAAAATGAAATGGCTGCCACCCTCCAGTGACACCCCATGTATTGTGCTTACTCCAGAGCACTGTCAAGAGCTGACACGTATGTGTATGTATACTCGTTGGTTCACTATCTACATTGTCAGAGGCAACTGAACTGTTGTTTTATAGTTAATATCGTTCCATTTTCTGCATTTTAAATGGATATATTTATCTATCTGGTGGCCAAATATGCAACATATTTACTACAGATGGCCCCCCAGATGGAATTTGAAATTAAAATCCCACTGATTTTGAAATAATTTAATTTGCTATAGAGATCCAGTTCCTCAGCTGGTGAAATTGGCAAAGCTTCATCGTAGTCACTCCCCCTGACTGCCAGCTCCACAGAATCACCCCCCAGCTCCACTCCTACAGAGTGGAAACTCTACAAAAGGCTGATCAGCTCCAAATTTGGAGAGGAGAATAAGGGAAACTTCAAAATACAGACTTGAACCTGGTTCCAAATTTTGTTGTCCAGACTTATGTCAGGCTCTTACACAGATCTGTCACTTCACTCATCCTGGTCCCAACACTTCATTCAGTGAGTAGCAGAAGCTGGGGGAAATCAGCCTTTTTCAAACAAATACAAACTCTGGAAAAGTACCCACTAGGTTTAAAACAGCCTCTTCATACATAAGCACAGTGGCTCAATGGGAGAAGGACTCTGAGAAATATAATTTCCCCCCCATGAGAGCCCTACACGGATGGACTGGGAGTCAATAAAGCTATCTAGTTCCTCAGTAGGCTGCTCCTTCCTGTAGAAAGCCTGTGTACATGCCACCCCCAAGGTTCCACAGTAAGCCAACAGTCCAGGAATCAAGACTTAAAAGGTAATTCCCATGTTGTGCATCTCTCTGCTTCTACTCACCCATCTGCAGATAATTATTTTGGAAGGAGCAATCAGCTGGAGAAGTAATTTCCTGCTAAATCAGGTATTTTACCCAGGCTTTTGCTGATTCTCAGATGTATTAAAACAGTCTTCCTCCCAAGCTTCAGCTTCCTCATTATGCCATGCTCAGTGGGAGCAAGTTGCTATATGACACACCTGATAAGGCTAGAGAAGCCCAGCTCAGATGTAACCAACCAAACCAGTGTAACAGCCTGGAGAAAGAAAATGAGAAATATTTATGTTCATCTTCCTAGCCTAGACAGAGAATATTTCCTAGGATTTCAGGAAAGGAGGAAAGGTATCTTTTGTCTTCTGTACTTGAATTAAGAGCCAAAAAAAAAAAAAAGGTTCTTATTGCTCAGTGGTGTTAAATAGGTTGTTACCATAAGTAAATAAATCAGTGTGCCACAAGAGATCAAGATGGCTCTTTCAGCTGCCTAGGCCGCCACTCTCACATTCTTGTGATATCCTAATTTAACCAACTAAGCAGTTTTTCAGCCACTGAAGATATTTCTCCTATTAAGAAAAGGGAGCCACCTTTTCCCCCCACTCCTAAAATTCTAGCTGTACAGCAGAAAGAGACCCCCAAAATCAGCACCAGCCCAGGTATCAAGTATAGCATACCAACGTTTCATGCAAGAGGTGTACAGTTAGAAAATTACTGTTTCCTCACAAAGTAGTGCAGCATCCTGAGGAGCTCCCTAGCTCCATGCAACTTTACTGACTTTATAAATGACAGAGAAGCCCACAGGGCTTTTATGACAAGCTTGCCAGCTCCTTCATGTAGAACCTTAAACATCACATTTCCATCAAACCATTTACTCTTGTTCTTTACATGACAACCCTACTAGATCCAGGAAGGATCTTATGCCCAGTCCTGCAGTGACTTACATGCTCTTGATTTGACAAGCCCATAGTGTTTTACCTAAAACAAACTATTCACAGCAAACAAACTTAGGTATGTAAGCAAGCCTGGTGAGGAAGAAGGCTCTAGTTTCCACTACACCCTGAAATGTCACCTTACAGATCTCCTTCTTGTTTAAAATAAAAAGAAAAAAAAAAATTTAATCCCTTTCATGGTTTCTGTGCACTGGCAAAGAATTGACCTTCTTCTCCTTGTCACCCACCTCTGCATTTAACAAAGGTTAGTAGAAAAGGCTTGGGTAAGAAAGGACAAAGCTTGAAAGTTGCAACTCAGTTTGGTAGTGGTTAAGACATCTTGCATTGTTTTGGATATCTGCCAGCTCTAAGCAGAATCCAGTTGGTGTGGGATGAAGGGATTCTGGCAACCAATCAATACAGGAAATCTTACAGAATAACGTCTTTTCCCATCCGTGACAACTAAAATCTGTTATCTGGCTGCTACTATTGTTGATGAAGAAAAGATAGATATTTATTTAAACACCAAGCTGTGATTAGAAAAAAATGCATTTGTGTTGCAGGAAGATGTCTACTTGCAGAAAGACTTCTGTTGTCAGCAAACCAAGTTCTTTACTTGATGTGTGCTTCTGCACAGGAAGTTGGTCTCAGAAGAGGGGCACTTGCATGACTGGCTAGCAGTCACAAAGTATTCTAAATAAATCACTGTCTCTTCTGACCATTCTTGTGCAAATAAATCCAATGGACAAGACTTTCTGCAAAGTCAGTGTTCTACTATGGCAGCTAAAAGATCTCTGATTTGGACAGATTCATCTTTGGGGATACAGGGAAGGTATGAAATTAATGCCCCTTTCTTGCCCCTCTAGGAAAGGGTAAAAGGCTGAAGCAGGCCAAGGAAGAAGCCACAGCTGAGATAGACCACTACAGACTACAGAGGGAGAAGGAATTTAGAAACAAGGAAACAAATGTAAGTAAGAAACCTGTGTGTGTTCTTCTGTCTTACCAAACTGCTCAATGGTAAACTAAATTGCTTCCAAGAGTATTACCTGGAGACTCCTGCAAACCAGTGTGGCCATACTGATTAAACACAGGGGTGTCATCTGCAGTGTCTATATGCTTCATTTGGACTTTTTCACAGGCTTTGAGTGCATTTGTAGAAGAAATTGTGGACATTCACCACTAAAATGGTCCAGATCCCATATTTGGTTCATGTTTATGCTTTGAAGATATATGTCCCTTAAGGAAAAATACTTTTGGGTCCTTTTTCTATAACCACAGACAGACCTAGTTCCTGTCCTGAAACTGGAGGATTCAGTAACATAGATGTGTCAGTAAAAACAAAGTTTAAAATGTTTCTTTCCATTTCTGTTCCACTTCAGCTGTCTCTTTTTATTACATATAATACTGCATCCCTTGTCAATTGAAGTCACCAAAACTTTAGAGGTTTTCACTGTTTCTATAGTAAAAGTGGTCTGACTCAATATTTTCCTATCTGAATAAAGCCATTTTATACATTTATGGCATCTTGCATTTTTCTCTAGTATTTCCATGAAATTCACAAACCATTCTCTTTTCACCAAGCAACCTTCCTCCTACATTCTTGGTCTTGTTTTTTTCCCCCCAGGTTGTATCATGTAATGACAAGGAAAGTTTTGTGCAAAAGCAGACACAAAAAGCAAAAAAAAAAAGCCAAAGAGGTCAAACAAAATCTGTTTCACCAACCTGTCATTTCAGTCACACTTCACATAAAACATTTTCTGGCAGGGATCACAACCCTTAGGAACATCTATATACACGAAGTATTGGTATCATACCCTGCCAACCCCCAGACACACTGTCACACAGGCAGGCCAGATAAAAATGTCTAAAGTGTACAGTTTCTGTTGTTTATTGACACCAAAATAAAGTATAAATACCTCTAACATTTGTTCACCTTTTCAGCAAAGCCAGAGCTCTTGTTTTAGGTCTTGATAGCAGAAGAGTAAAGATGTTGCTTTTTTGTGAACTCCATTTTTTTCACCACAACCAAATTAAAGCTGCAGGGAAAGGCCACTATTTGTTGACGGAAGGTTTCACACGAGCAGGACAGAGCACATATTGCTCCTCAAATGACAGCATGTTGTACAAGATCCTTGCAGTCCTCCTCCACATTCCCTGACCCCATTATGTTGAACATTCACCTTCCCAGACAAATGCCATCATTATTAACCTGTGTCTGGAGGCAGCCAGGAGCTCCAGTGAAGGGGGAGCTCTGATGCCTGGTTCAGTTTACTTTCTAGGGTATTTGGACCCCAGGATTTTTAATTCTCTGTCACAGTCTCCTCTAATGCCATCCTTCCTCCTACTTTGCGTCTCTTGTATCCAAACAGCCAGAAATTTTCTCATACTATGAGAGGCTTCATATCTATCCAGAATTAAGAACAACAAAAAAAAAAATAAAGATTGAGGTTAAAATGACAATATGCAAAATCTTTTTTCAAAACATGCAAAATTTTTTGCCTGGATCTCAAACCAATTTTGCTTTTTCATTCATTGTCTGAGATCACCTAACTCTGGAGATGTGCAGCCTAGTTCTGAATTTTCTTGTGGCTTCTGAGCCAATGTAATATTTTAGCAGTTTTGAAATTACACTAACATAAAACCTGTATGGGAAAAATAAGGGAAAAACCTTCAAGGTCAGCAAAAATCATAAACACCAAGCAGAGCATTGCCTGTATTCTGCAAGAAGAAGTCCTCAAATTTAGAAGCTGAAGAAGAGAGGGAAAACACATAGAAGTGTAAGAGTTTACTATCTCAAATGACAACATTAGCATGAGCTGAGAAAGCGGGTCTGCAGAGGCTCTTCTTAAAATTGTAATACTTTTCTTGAGGCTTTTCAGAAGTATTTAGTCGCTGGATAACATGCAACCATCTGGGATCTCTAGAAAGTTACTTCCCCAGTGGAAAAATTCAGTTCCATAAATCTGGTCTAAGCTGTACAACCTTTCCCACATGCAACCCTTGCAACTTGTCTAAAAGTTATAATAAAATGTCAGCTAAAAATAGATATTATAGAAAACTATAATCCTTTCCCAATACTTATTATTATGTCTACAACCTAAATTTCTTCCAAACTGAAAAATGGTTTACATGTGGATTATGGACAAATGTCTTCCTATGTTGCCAGGTACTGATAAACAGAACAGGGAAGGTGGCCTATGCTAAAGATGCTTTCCCTTCTTTTAAGGGCTAATTTGGGCTAAAACCACAAGGAAAATAGAGTCAATGACTCCTCCCTTGTTTCTGGTCATGCTCTAGGTACCCCACTAATATACCACGGTTTAGCTCCACCTGCTAGTCCACCCCGGAGAACCATGGCAGGAACAAGAACAATATGTTACTTACTCCTTTCTTACTCTGCCAGCATGCAGAAGTGTCTTCTTCTCTCCACATGGAATTCTTTAGCTGGAAATCAATTTCTCTGCTGGTATCTGAAGGACTTTTCCATAAGGGAAGAATTCAAGGGATGTTGGGGCAGTGGGGGAGGAGGGAGCAAAGTCACAGATTTGGAACGTGTGCATCTGTTTATAACATAACCTTGCTAAAATGTTCAGTGAGTCCAGAGTCAATTAAATTCTAAGCGAATGTCCTGATATTAACTGTGCCAGAAGCTGTCTGGTATTTCGCCAGATAAGAAAATGTAACATTAAAAGACCTTGTCTGAGGCCTGTTGAGGGTTATACATCACTAACTGCTGAAGACATTTCAAGTACTCTGAAACTGTAATTATGCATTTTCAGGAAGGCTTTTCCATGTTTGGTCCTTAGCTGCACTCACAGGCACTCTCAGTGAGGCCAGATGAAGGCACACAGTGATAGAACTTAGCTGCCTAGTCATTAAAATAGAAAACAAATTAAAATGAGCCATATAAAAGACAAAACATACACAATGTTTTTCCCACAGCGAGCTTGGAAACTTTCATTACATAGGGAGATTCCCATTGCTAATGAGCATATGAGAGTTGCCTTTAATCCTGTTTTTATGCCTCCAGTTGAACCCAGATCAAACCGTCACTGTTCAGAAGCACTAAGATGTGTTTGTGTTATGCTTGTGCTACATGATGAAGAAAAGTACAATAAACATGGTTATATAGAGCCTCTCATTTTGCTTAGAGGTCTTCTGCTTTTCAGGTAATGGGCTCCCAAGGTAACCTCTCTGCCAAAATAGAAGAGCAAACAACAGAAGCCATCCGAAACCTCACAAGCAGCTACCACAGGAACATGGAGAGCATGATGAAAAAACTCTTGAGCACAATATTTGACATCAGCCCTGAAGTTCACCCAAACTTCAGACCTGCAGTTTAAGATTCATTGATGTGCTGTGTTTGCAAAGCAAAGTAGCCTTCCTTCTTGATAAGTATAAATACTTTCTCATGTATTGTTTCTGTATGTGTGAGAAAAAAAGAGCACTGAAGCCAAAAGCACACAATTTCACACAGGCTTTTGATGTGACAAGAATTATACAGGGTTTCACAAGCATTTGTTGGAATATTGTTTCCTGTGGCTAAGCCCCTGTCATTTAGGCAGGGACAAGTCAACAACAGCAAAATAAATGATTATTTGACACCAGCAGGTTTTCAGTGGGAGTCTTGTTCCTTTTGTCTTATAAAATGTTCTGTACTTGGATATTATGTTGCATAAAGTCTGTTTATCCTAATCTTTACTGCACTTCAAGTCATGTGAAATAGAATATCCCAAAAAACAAAAATGGAACATTTCTGTTTTTCTTCTGACACATGGAGTGGTCAGGCTATGGACCATACAGGAACATTTGATTTTGGTCAAAAATAATAGGTCAAAGCATTTTCAATTTTTCTATGCTAGCTTAAAGCAAAATGTAGTTAACTTGTACAAAACTATGCTTAAATCCATACTTAAATTATTATACTAAAATTTAACTACACCACAAACTTTATATAGCTTTGTTAAATCTGAAAAATGAGAACAGGCATAATCATTATTTACAAAATTGCTATGGTGCAAGGGGCAGGCTAGCACATGTATTATTTCCATACAGTTACCCTGAAAGCACAGGAACCCACGGGCTCAAACTCTACACCAGTTATGCCAAATCCTGAATCCACAGGTTGTCCACCAGAAATCACATCAGCTACAGCTCATTTCTGTTACCCTAAGCGACCTTGGGTAATACTTTTCTGTGCAGGAGCACAGATTTCCCTTGGAATAAATTCTACTGAAGTTGTGAAAATACAATATGATCTGTGCTCTCAAGGTGAAGCCCATTCAGTCTGATGGGAGGCACTGATGGGAGTCACTGATGAAGTGGGGATCTGACACACACCTGCACTGTGAGCTCCTTTAATGCCTTGTCTCCACTACAAAATTACACCAAATTAGAAGCTTGAGAAATGGCAATGACTAGCAAACAGCAGCCATGATTTTCAGTCCATGTAGAGACAGAGAAATCATTTCCATTTCACAGCAGCTAGTCATAGGCAATCTCCTGTTCCAGCAAGGTTTACACAGTTGACGTGCTGTCATGTGTAAAATGACCGTAAAGCTGTAGTCAACCTAATGTCAGCAAACACAGCTCCTCAAGGCTGTGCCTGGATACCACATAATCTCCAAGCCCTGATTGTTACAGTCTCCTGTGCTTGATTATATTCTCTGGGGACCCAAGGATGCTGAGGAATGGGAAAGAAACTAGAAATCCTATTGACACCAGCTGAATGGCTCATTTATTTAGGAGTGCTTTGAATCAATGTGTGATAGGTTTTGATTTACTGAGAGGATGAAGGCACTGCAGTGCCAGCCCATGTGCAGGACCCAATGCAGGCACCTTCCTGCACAGCTGGGGACAGTCAGGGCTGTCTCACAGCCCAGGGGCACATACCTCCAGCTTGGGTCATGGCTGCAGCCCCAGTGCAGTGCTCTAAAGAGTCACCAAGGTGGACACTAACACCTCACAGGGTCTCACTGCAGTGTGCTCAGACTATTCTGTTCCCTCTGGGCTACCTCAGCACCCTTGCCTCCAGCTATCACTTCTAAACATACAGAAATGTTGCAGGTTCAGCTGCAGAACTGTATGAAGCAATGGAGCTCCCATTGGCAGCTGCATGGGATAAAACACCCCCGCCCCACTATGGTGAGAGCAGAATTGCCACAGCCTGGTTAGGCAGCAACCCAAGTTACCTGAAATAAAGGTTTCTCTTCCTGGTTACCCTGCTTCTTTTTATGACAATCCCTCTCTCCCTTGTTCTTGCCAAAAATCTGTCCTCTCTCACCAAGTGCTTCTCTTGCAAACCCTTCAAGGCTGTTTGTAGTTTTCTGGTCCTAATGGCCAGGGACACATCTCTTATTTAAATATCCTCTGCCCTGCACTCACAGCCATGACCTGCCTGTGTCCTTGTTATCACCTGCATACCTGAGGTACTGAGTCTTGGTTATGAAACTTTTTTGAACATGATTATGATTAATTTCATAAGATTAGGTCTTTGGTCTCGAGATACAAATCGGAGAGCATTTAGCACTCTGAGCATTTACTCTCCTCAACATTCAGTCCTACTTCTGGACATAAAAAAAATTGGTCATACCATCACTTTTAGATGCACAGAGGTAAGGGTCAAACTAGACTTCATATAATTTGGCAAGATTATATTAAATGAAGAGTGTAAATTACCAGCTGCAGCAATGGAATATTGGGGTGCCAAGAAAGCACATGCTGAGTTTATAAGGGCACAAAATACCTTGCATGTGACAATTACATACTCATGATAATGGAAAATAATTGTTCCATGCAAAAGGAAAAACAGGATGGTTAATTTCAATTTTTTTTAATACATAACAGAAAGGTAAAAATGGTTACTCTGAATTAGCAGTCACCTATCAGGGATGATTACTAATGCCCTTTCATCTCCGGGGGATATTCCCAGACCCACTGGAGCCCCCAGTCCTCATAGTGCCTTGACACTGTATTACCTAGTATGCACCAATGCAGTTGCCAAATAAAATGGCAGTATCTCACATGTCACAACACAAACAGATTTTAAGACACAGAAAGCCACACATATGTAAACCTTCCTCTTTTGTTTCATAATTACCATTGAAATCAGCTGCAAAACTCCCATAGTGTGTCATATTAGGATTGAAACAACAAACCTGAGTTTCCTAGATTGGCCCAATTCTTCACTGGCTCACAAGACAGGGGTTAATAAGGCTCTTTCTGTCTGGAAATGAAGACCTGTATTAATCAATAAATTCTAAATCTGCTGATTCAAGTATCTCAAGTATCTTAATTAACAACTAGGTCATAAATAACAACAAAGAGTCATACCAGTGGAAAGTACAAGAACTGTTTCATACAGCTCATGATGTGGATTGGGCTGAATTTCTCTGGCTGTTCTCCCTCAAAATTCTCCTTTGAGTTATAATATATGAGGATGTAGTGATGTGGTTCCCATTCATGGGTGATGAGGGCAGATCTCTGAACTCATGCCAGTAAGACAGAATATCTTTCAAGTCTAAATAAAGTAAAATGAAACAGACATGAAGAATTAATACTACACTCTGTGCTGAAGTTGTCTACTGACTTTCCCATTAATTTCTGAAGAGTTTGGAAGCCGAGGTTTGGGAAATCAGAACCAGATGTTAATCCATTACATGGATTATGATATTAACTGAAATTTTTCCATATTAAAATATACTTGGAAGTTCATGCAATCTGTAAAACATAAGTTGTTCTTGTAAATCTATGTAGGGTATATGTGTGTGTGTGTATGAAGTTTTAACAGAACAAAATATTTCAGTCCCTGACTTAAAAGATTTTGTAGCTCCAGGGCTGTGAGGAATGTTTCCCTCTAAGTTGGGACAGGATGCTCTGCTGTTGCAGAGCTCAGGAACCACCACAGGGCAGGTGACAACAGACTGCCATGACATACAGTCACAGGAGATGTGAACCTGCAGATCCATACTTTCACACACAGCCTTGCCCAGAAGCATCCTTAACTGCAGACAAAGCAGGGAAGATGTCTATGTGTAAGGATATATTGGGCATCCCTGCAGCAGGGGACAGGATCAAACTTTGGGTACAAATTTGGGCAGGGTCAGACATCAGACTGAGTCTGGGGCTGAAATTTGAAGACATTGTTAGGCTATTAAGCTATACCTTCCATCATTTGCAGTGGCCCTGGCTGTTGGCTATACTGACAGGCAGGTAATAGTGCCATCAATTAAAGACATGTGAACAGTAACAGTTCTTACAAAAGGAGAATCAACCTTGCCCCTGTGGTCCATCAATGGAAATGCATTATGTTCACCTGGAACTTCTCTTAACTGGATGCATCTTTCAACTATGGATTTGGTTTTTTCTCAAAATAACAGACTAATCAAATGTTGTCAAGACACAATTCTTCTTCAGTCTCAACCACAAGTCAGGCTCGTATTCTAGGATGTCCTCACCAAAAGACTAACTCTTGGGAATGGTACCCATGTGGCATCTCATCATCACCTTCTTCAAACTCTGGCTCTGACTGTCCAACATCTCAGTGCAGAGTCAGGTGCTATTGAAAATAAACACAAGGGGAGCAAAGGACACTGGTCAAAGATTTTGGGGTAACAGCAGCAATTGCAGGTCTTTTCTATTCTGGAAGCCCCCCACAACCACATGTTGATTAAGTAGGAAACTTAAGCATTATGTAAAATTACATTCTGCTTCGTGTATACAATACATATTCTTCAACATAATTTCCTCCAGATCCTCATTGAAATAGAGGGAATGTCTGTTCCACAATACACAAGCATCATGTATTCCTGTCAGCTTCACTGTGGCCTGTCCTTCACAGATTTGATTATTCCACATTTTATGGTATTATAAGGCACTTATACTCTGAGTCTTCCCCAAGGAACATTAATGCTTGTTAGAAGTACATGACCCAACCAGTATTACTACAAAACACTTGGAAAATGTGACATTGGAGTACTATTAATACACTCTATTGCATTTGCACTACATGACTGCATGTGGAAAATCTGATGACTTGCAAGCTTATTAACTTACTGAGATTTCTCATTGCTTTTATGAAAGATATGCCACAACTGAACTACCTGACCCTGGGTGATTCCTGGAAGTTCCTCTGGCCCCAGATCTGATTTATTTCCAGGGACATCAGACTCCAATATGCTACCAAATTTCCATATCGCTTTTGGAAATACAGGATTTTTGAGTAGAGTTGTGCTCTAAAAACAAGCTTTCCACAAAATATGCCAGGAAAATTACCTCAAAACTTGCTGTTAAATAAACCTTGCTTTAAGAAACACAGTATTTATAATTCACCTGTAACCAAAGAGCATAAATATTAATATAAAACAGATCATCAATGTCAATATAACCTAATTTGTATAAACTTCTCTATGTATTTCATGTAAATATTTATTTAACAATCCCGTGGCACTGATTTAAGGTACAAAAGAGACGGGTAGATAAAAACAGATATCTAACATAACTGTAATCTACCCATGTGTGTCTTTGGCAAGTAAATCTAGCATTTTGTGTTAGTGTCGTTTCCCTGCAGACTTACTCACGGGAAATGAGCAATCCCAT